ACCCAATACACAGGTTAAAACCAGGGCTTTGATGGCCGGCTCACTCTGCTGTCGCTGTGGTAGGTCCCATGTGACAACAGGCCCTGCTCCAGGATGTTTTACTTCAAAGGAGTCCAGTGTGCATGGCAATGATAAAACATGAGTTCTGTTTAAATCCAGCCCTGGAAAGCAGCAGGGAGGAGGCGTGCTGGGCAATTCTGCTTTGCTTCTGCCAGGCGGGAGAGACCCCACAGTGTGATTTGCCAGGTGCTGCTCCTGTGGTTGAGGCTCACAGGCCCTGCTGTGGAGGTCTCTGGGGCTCAGCACCTAAAAGCCACGTATGTGTGCCTAAGGCACAGGCTTAATTCCTCTCTTCTTTTTTTAAAATTATTTTTTGCATCTTGTCGTGGTGCCATTTAAGCTCTTGCCCTGGCCTCTGAGGGAAGCAGTGGGGTTAGCGTGCAGGTTGCTGCCACATGAGAAATGCCCTGCAGAGGTATAGGTGCAGCTGTTATGTCAGCAGCTCTGGTCACTGCACGCTGCTGGGGACTTTCCACTTTCAAACTCAGTTCTAAGATGTGTCACTGCATCATGCATCAGTGGTTCTCCTCACCTTGCTGCAGTTTCCTGGCCAGCTTTCAGCTATGGAGGAAAATTGGGGGAAAAGAAGACCACAGCTGAAGACCACATGTCTTCCCTTGAGTAGACAGAGAAGCTATTGGAGTTAACTGCACCAAAAACCATTCTAATCTGTCTTGGACCAGAGTAAAGCCAATTCAGGGCCAAGAAGCTCATAAACTTCGTCCACTGCTTTTTAAGGCCAGTCCCTAAGGGAAGCGACTTCTGCTCTGTGCTACCTCACCTGGTCCTACCTCTCCTGGTCCTTGTACCTGTGCTAAATGCTATGGGAAATACCCACCTCGGACTGGGGACTCTGAGGGGGCTTGCCCCTTCCAGGACAGATGGACAGACACACACACAATCGCACTGAGGCAATGCATTGCAGCAGAGAGGTACCTCAAATAGCTGTAAAGCTATGCAGCTTTTATCTTAGGGATAGATCACTGCATCAAACTGCCTTTCCGTGACATTCTCATCCAGTTTAAAGAGAAACTGAAGCTAAATAATTAATCAGTGTTGTCAGACTAGTTCATGGCGCGTAGGCAGAAGAAACAACTGTACCGGAGACATCCCTGACACCCATTTTAACTTTTCTCTCAAGCTGAATGTGATTGATCCATCTCCATTTCCTCTGAATAAATCCTGCAGCAGCACCTGCTGACAAGTGTGGGTCGGGCGAGCTGCCCTGGCTGCGAGGCACGGGGACATGATGTCAGTGGTTCCACTGGTGGGAGCTGGAGAGGAGTGTCCCTTCCTTACACCCATTAGAAGTGTTAGAATTGCATTAGACGCAATTTTAGATCAACAGCTTCCCCAAGTCTTGAGGAAACGTAGGAAAAAAGGTTCCTCAGGTAAAAGGCAAAATGCAGTAGGGAGTTCAAGGTGGGGCAAGGGCTGCCGTGACCCCAGGGCTGTGTTGAGGGTTGTGCTATGGTCTGGTGTGGGTGTAGGCTGCTGGCTGTATGCAGAGCATCACAGAAAACCTGCCAAGAAAGCGGATTTCCAGTGACGGTATGGTAATATGAGCAAGCTAAGAGCACTTCAGGTGTAAGTACCCTCCAAATGCCATTTGCTCCTTGCCAGAGCAGCTGAACCGTGGCTGTTACATGTCAGATGTGTTTTCAACATGCAGGTTAAAGGAGCATCTCAGAGCACTCTCTGGTGAAGACGAGATGGTTTCATTGCCCGACAAGGTGAAGGCAATCGGCCAGATTGAGTGTCTCGCCCTCATGGTGGGAGCAGTCCCTGTCGAGTGTGGTGCCCTTGTCGTGGGTGAGTGTTTGCATGCTCCTCCAGTCCTCTGGGCATGGGCTGGGCTCTGCTCCCTCTTACCGCGCAGAGGGAAAAAAGAAGCTTCAGAAACGTGTTAAATTTAAGATAGAAATGTTGCTTTTCTGCATCAAAAGCCCTGGGTTGACCCTTCAGGGGGAGGACGGATGTGTTCAGTGCTGGGGGCACTGGGCTCGTGCGCTGCCGTGCTGATGGAGCAATCACCACGTCTCCTGGCAGGTGCAGCCCCCTGTCCTCCTTTGGTCGTGTTCCTCTCTAGAGTAACTCAGTCCCTTTGTAAACTGGGTTTTATTTAGCAGAGCAGCCATGAAGGAAGGATGGAATCACTGGCAAAAAGCATGGGAGAACATTTCAGATGTATAAATCAATGTTCCTATTTTTCAGAAGACAACAAGAAATCCTTTTCGTTTGGGCTGCAGACATTGAAGTCTCTGAAGGTAGGGGTTTTCCAGGAGGGCTTTTACCCATGCTGGGGGAGCTAGGCCAGCTGTGAATTGCAGTTTTCCTTCTTACCTGAAGGCATTTATTCTCTACAGTGTGTCATAAACATGGAGAAGAACCAGCTCGTTCTGGGGAAGACAGACAGGGAAGAAATCCCATTTGTGGGCAGTGGCAGCGCTGCGGCGGGAGAGCAGTAAGTTGAAAAGCTGCACGTGCACCGCTGAGCCTGATGGCAGGGCCCCCCGCTACGGCCACGCAGGTGCCCCCAGACCCTTGCTGCAGGTGGGCGACAGCTCAGCAGCACTGGCAGAAATTGTTTTCATCAGATCATCGAGTTTTGCAACGGAGCCCCTGGCTTTTCCAGCAGCCTTTTTAGCTTTTGCTGCTTTTTTCCTAGTAAACATTGTACAGCAAAGGGGGATATCTGAAAGATGCACACAGGGAAATGCTTTAGGAAATGTACCCTTTGGAGGTCACTAGGAAGACTCCTTGAGCTCCTTTGTCCCAAAACAAACCTTTTTTTTGGAAAATGCTTATGAATCAAAGCAAATAAACCCACGTGAATGTTTTGCAAAGTGCAGGAGCGATAGATCCTGTCCAGAGATAACGTTTTGCCACTTCTTGCATTGCCCTGCTCCTGATGTACTAAACTTTTTCAGCCTTATCTCCTTATAGTGAGAGAAATCTGTGCTCTCTGCTCTGGAATCTCCTAAATGTGTGTAGCTTGTGATGGGTGGCTCTGTAGTCAGGCAGGCAGAGAGAGGGGGGATTTGCACTTACGTGCCTTTCTGGCTTTGTACTTGCTCAGCGATGAGCACTGCAGACACAGCCATCTGCAAAAATATCTTTTCTCACTGCATAAAAAAGTCTTTGGTGAATGAAGTAGGAGAGCACCTTCTTTAGCTGTCTGTCTTCACCAGCTACAGCCATTCTGGAGGACGTACAATCCCCCGTGCAGCTCAGCCTGCTGTGCTGGGCACTGCCAAACTCAAGGAGCCTGAGAGGGAGCAGGGGAGGAACAGACTTTCCTCAGCTAATTGTATTTATGCTCCCTGGGGAGCACAGGAGGGATGTACCCACTAGTGCAGGGAGTCAGGATGAGAGCGTGTGTGCACCCTCCGCGTGCCCAGGACACCCATCGGCCGCAGGACCTGCCAGCGCCTGAGCCCAGCGAGCCCTGGTGCAGCACCAGGGTATCATCGTGCTGCAGTGAAAAAACCATGGGATGTTTTCCCTGTCTCCTTTGAAACAGGGATGCAAGAGGAATAATGTAGCTCTGTTGCCATTGCAGTGATGAATTTTTTCAACTGCATTCAAGGCCAAATTTTGCTGCTACTCTTCCCCCTCCCCCCCCCGAAAACGCCTATTTTATTGAATGTCTTTTCCTTCTTGTTTCAGCAATTTGCAGGCAGAAGCAGAACTTGAAACACTGTCCCCACACAAGAGCTCAACATGAAAGGAATCCTGTGCAGCTGTTCCAGATGGAACAGCAGCGTGCTGCTTTGAAAACATTTATACTAGGCTACAGCTTGAGTAGAGCTAAATGAAATCCTGTTCAGTAGCCAGTGATTTAGAGATATTGTCATGTTTATCTATGGGTTTTGAGAAACAAATGTGTGCTTATTTTCTGGACTTTTCTATATAGTGTCCTCTTTATTACAAACAGTTGGGAAAACCTTATGAATTTCTTCTGATAAGAAAAATACTTTTTATAGTGGCCTTGTATGAGTAATTGTATTTAGCTGTGATTAGAGGCTATCAGAATGAAATTTTTATTAATGATTTTTCCAGGAGCTAAGCATTTATATTCACTTAATTGATATTGCCACATTCAAATGGCCATTACCAGGAAGTTAGAGTAAAATAACAATGCTAATACCACCTAGGAATTATGGCTCATCCTGTTAGCATAGTATTATTGCCATGTAATTAGGGATGCAACTGCTGCCTTGATGAGAAAGAGCAATTACAGAATTATTAATGGGTTATATGCTTCTCTGCAGTGATGTGGCAGAAGCAAGGAAACAGGGTTTGAGGGGCTCCCGGGGTGACCTCCCGCAGCCCCCAGCTTGCCATGTGTTTGGCACCAGCACAGGAGGAGCGCTTCGTGACGCTGCCTCACCGGGCTAGAAACGCCCCAAGGAGGGATCCTAGTGGGGAATAGTCAGGCAAATTAATCATCATATTGAGCCAAAAAGCAACAAACAAGCACAAAAGTACACTGACCGGAAAGCAGCAGATACAGAACCTCACTGGTATATCAGGAACCGAACGGTCCCGACGGAGCCTCGGCTCTCCCCTGCCCCAGGACTGGTGGGGGGGCCAGACACCACACACCGGCGC